CCGCTCCGACGCGCCCGCGCCACCATAGAGAGGAGTCGGGCGCGCGGCGGTCTAGAGCGCAGCTCCCGCGAGCGCCCTCTGGCGGAATCCCGGCTCGGACTGCAGGGCCGCGGACGGACGGAGGGGGGTGGGCTAGGTGTTTGGGGTCCAGAGTTCGAGTCTTGGCTGAGTCATTCCCGTGACCTTGAGCGCGTCTCTTATCATCAACTTGCTTTATAGTAGAGGTTGAATGTTGAACCCTTGATTTCATGTTTCCTTTTACCCGACGGTTTTCCAGTTCACCCAATGTATTGTCTATCTCACTTGGAGATATTAAAAATCTGTGATGCAAGCCGGGCGGTGGTGGCGCACGCCTTTAATCCCAGCACTCGGGAGGCAGAAGCAGGTGGATCTCTGTGAGTTCAAGACCAGCCTGGTCTACAAGAGCTAGTTCCAGGACAGTCTCCAAACCTGTCTCGAAACCCTGTCTCGGAAAAAAAAAAAAAAAAAAATCTGTGATGTATCATAACCTTTGCGTTCCTACTAGGATTAGCTACATTCACGTTAGAAAGACAGGGACACGGCTGAGAAAGGCTGCAGTACAATGACTGCTAAGGACCACCCAGTCATCATTCATCTGTGTGCACCTTTTGGCAGGTATTTAACCTTTCCGAACTCTTCCCCATCCCAGAAAAGCAGGTCGGGCCTGCAGATTAAATGGGCTGATGCACAAAGGCCTTAGTAAAGCATAAAACACCAAGGTAGCATAGGGGATCATTAGCCAGTGAGTTAAGAAGATGCCTAGTCATGGAAGTCATATAAATGCTAATTCTTCTGCCTAGTGTCTAGTGACATCGTTTTCTTATGCTTCAGGTTCCGATCACAGACCTCTCAGGGTTTTTCCTGAGCAATTTGTTTTTTTGGTTTTTTTTTACTTATTCAATATTTTGGTGTTTGGGATTTTTGTATAGACTGGGTAAGTGCTCTATCACTTGTATTTTAAAATAAGGACTATCAGAAGGGAATGAGAGCTAAAATATTATTTATCCATATCAGGCTGTCACTTTACAAGTGTCATTACTATTTCCAGTTCTCAAAAGAGCCCAGCAAGCTCCATACTGTTATTTGCTTGTTATCAACAAGAATCTACATTTTAAGTAATTTTCCCACTTCCACACAGAGAAAAGCAGGGCTGGGATGTGAAACCATTTCTTTCTCCAACCTGGAGTGCACGGGGAGCTCTGCCTTCTAGGGGCCCCCTGCAACTGAACGGAACATTCACGCCTTTCTCTTGCTTATTTCTACAGCTCCTGTGTTCTCTGCTTCTCTTGGGGCTTTTTCTTCCACAAAGGTGTCTATCGTCTCCTCCTTTGGTCTCTGGTGTCTCTGGTTCCTGTTTCCTTGATGTGCCATCATTGTTCACCCTTTCGTGTTTCTGAAACGGGTCTGAGAGCCTTGCTGGAGGCTCACACACTCTACCACATTCCCCTCCTCTGGATATGAATTATAGGCACAGACATATAATAAGTCCAGAACAGAGGTGAGATGAGACCCAGACCTGGGATTATTTGTTAACTTAGCTCACAAGCCCAGTTCTGAAAGGGAGTGCACTCACTCCCTTAATTGGACTCAATAATTAAGGCCTGGATTCATGACATCCTACAGAAATCCTTTTCTCGGGGCCCTCTGGTCCATATTATGGCTAAATCACCAGAGTGCTACTAAATAATGAGCAGATCACTGGAGCGAGGCCTGGGAGCTGCATTTACCCACACCCCTCCTCTTTCCACCTTCGGCGTTATCACCATCACTATTTTTCATCTTTATCGTGCCCTTCCGCAGAGGTATTCAATAATGCACCCATTGTGCGAGTAATCTGAAATCCTTTTCGGCGAGCAATAGTATTTAGTAGTAATAAAACACTAATTTGTCTACCAAGTGACATATTTATAGGAGCTGTTTACTTTGACATATTTTTATTATTTCTACTCATTTGCTAAGTACTTTCCAATACATATTTATGAAGCACATGCCTTTCCCCAAACAGTACTGAAAAAATAAATCACATTATTTCTTTTATTAGTAGCAGGAAGGCTTCTAAGACCTAGTGCCCTGATTTCTGTTACTTCTGGCAGGAGCCAGAAGAACTAATGGTGATTGAGCACCTACTGTGTGCCCGGCTCTCTGTGAAAGGCACTTTCCATAAATCTTCTTTTTAACTCCCCTGAGATACATATTTTACCAATAAGGAAAATGTAACTATGTACAACATAGATTTCTATCAGTAAAACGAACACATTATCTTGTCCGAGGAACTCTGCCAGAAAGAGCACAGTAGGGTATCGAACCTAGCACTTTCCCTGATTCCAAAGTCCTAAACCACCATCCCACTTCACCAGTCACAGGCCACTCCAATATCTCAGGATATAATACATCTCGGGATATAAACATCTCAACATCTCCAACATCTCAGGATATAAAGTCAGTAAGGTGTGGTGGTGCACACCTTTAGTTTCAGTACTGGGGAGGTAAAGGCAGCTGGATCTGGACAGCCAGATAT